TTTTTTTTTAATGGCTAGAACATTACCAATCCTAGCAGGTTTATAAAGATCTATTTACACCACAAATACTATATTGAAATGTATTTAAACAAGTAGTAAATACAAATAGGTATGACTTATTGTGTAAATATATCTTTATGAAATCTCTATGACTAGCAATGCTCTAATTACTAAATATAACTGTGTAAAGGGGACAGCTAAGCAATGCTCTTGAGAGGAGGAAAAAAAATCTGATTGTTTTTCCTAAATCTACCTTTCAGTTAAAAATAAGAGTCAACCTCACGGGCTTACCTACACTGCTCTTTATTTACTAGCATTTCATCAAAATGCTTGGTATTTGTACCAGAACACAACTCTATCCCAACCCTTCCCCTTTTGTCTGAATGGTCTAACAAGCAGTCCCACAGGAGTTAAAAAGCTTTCTCATAATTGGGCTGTTACTTGGGCAAGTAATTGGAGGATGGCACCCACTGTGGGGAAGAAAACTGCAAGCAAATCAGTGTTTATTCCTAATAGTGTTTATCATACATAGTGCAACTGAGACAATTTTAATTTGAAAAAGAGTTTTAAACACAGTAGGTCACAGCTGTATTATAAAAACAAACACCACAGATAAGTATACCTGTGTGTAGCTGCAGTTTGAAATGTAGTGAGTTTTGTCACAACTGTAAGTGCCAAGGATGGCTGTTGCAGAAAGAGTTGTCTTAAATGGATTTTTTAGTAGCTAAGTTTACACACGGTGTTGTATGTTCTGCCTGCACAGGCTGCTTTGTTTCTGGCCTGTTTCTGGAAGGAGCAGACTGGGACATAGAGCACAGCTGCCTCACCAAAAGCAAGCCCGGCGTGCTGGTGGTGGAGTTACCCATTCTGAAGATAATCCCCATCGAAGCGCACAGGCTCAAACTCCAGGTACTGCTCCCTCGGGCACACAATGGCCAATTAGCTAATGACCTTCCTCTGTTTTCACATCTCAGTAGCTGGTAGTCCCTTCCCGCTTAGCACAAGCGGCAGTATTTTATCATTGCCACTAGTATATAAAGTATGTAGTTTAACACTTCTCCTTACATTAGCCATCACTGAAGTTTTTCTTTTCTAAGGGTTACACTCAAGGGGTTAATACATTTGTTGCCTCTTTTCCATTCAGGCAGAATGGGACAGGCACCTTGGGACACTCTTATACTCCCACTCACTACTCTCTTAATTATTTCCCATTACTAGTTAATGGCATAAAGGAAGTTTACATTTTCTGGGTATCAGATATTTAAGACTTACAACACAAGAAAACAAATCTCTGAAGACAGTCAGCTCTCCTAGAGGCCCTTCCTGTTTCCAGTTTCACGTAGTTCTTCAAGCACTGCTCAGTGTCCTTCTTTCCTCCACGCTCTTTCAGAATACCCTCCGGACACCAGTGTACACAACCTCCCTGAGAAGGAACGCGATGGGCGTTGGCCTTGTTTTTGAAGCTGATCTTTACACTACAAAGCACATTTCCCATTGGGTCCTTCAAGGCGTTTGTCTCACCTTGAACACAGACTGACAGTCTGAAGCTGGCAGGTGGTTTTTCCCACAGAATCCAACCCTTTGGTAGGGGGAGGGGAGGGGGGAGCGGGACTCAAACTAGGCAAAGATTCACACCATAGGTGGGATAGTGTTCGCTTAGGCACACCTGACTTTAAATAGTATGATACAATGAAGCCAATACTATTAATAAACACGTTTGAAGAGGAAAGTGTTTTTCATAATTTGTACTTCCTTTTAGAAAGGCTCCAAGCTGGTGTGTGTATATACATACATGAAAGAGGTAATAAGTTAGTCTCGCACACACAAAGACTAAGGTTTGCCTGTATAGTTGTAAGAAATGTTTTTAATTGCCCAAAGCATCACTTCCGCTGTGCTTAGAAGCGGTGCCTTCTCTCATCCTTGAACAAGCAGCAGGGTAGATCAGTTGTACATGAGATCGCCATAAAAATATGGCAACAACCACCAAAAAAAACAAAGCCACTGCTGGTTAATGCAATACACTGAAAAATAGTAAACCACAGAATAACCAACTTTCTTTAACCAACCGTTTTCCAGGAACACAGCTTTTCCCTTTCCCTCCCCACCAGTCATGAAACAAATCCTACCACGCAACGGCAAGGCGTAACACTGAGTGTTTCTTGGGCTTCAGAACAGCAAGTGACTGAGTCGTGAGGGTGCACGGGGTAGGGCACAGGAAGCCTCGGGGCTCGCGGATGTTCCGGCCCTTTCTGACTGGGCCCACCCCACTGTAAGCCGTCATGCTGCACGGACACGGAGCAGCGCCACAGTTCAGAAGAACAGCTTTTGTTGTCCTGCCAGGGCCTTTGTGGGGGAAGCGGACAGGTAGTGACCCAAGGCTCCAGAGGGAGACGCACACCAACACACAGCTGCAGAAAAAGCTTAAGAGGGGCAGACTACAGCTGGCACAGGGAAGGAGAGAGGGCAGGCAGGGATCCTTCATCAGCTTTCACAGAGATTACGCGTTCCAAGTTTTTGAAGGCACATCATAAGCTTAGCAGCATTTGGGAGCCATTGTTTCTTGCTGGTCCTACTCAGAGGCTGCAGACAAGAGTGAAGCAGAGGTGAGCTGGAGGTACGGATCAGAATTTAAGAAAAATGGTCAAATTTGTGCTCCTTTCCCAAGATTACATACTCTCACAGCTCTCAGTATGTCTTTCTTTCCTAGGAAAAAAAAATAAATAAAAATAATCAAGTAGTCCCTGCTCTGGCAGGGGGGTTGGACTAGATGATCTCCAGAGGTCCCTTCCAATCCTAACCATTCTGTGATCTGTGATTCTGTCTAACAGATGGAGGGTCTACCTGCTGCTCACTAGAAAGGAACCAGGGCAAGTGCAAGGCAAGTCTGTCCCAATCCACAAGGATAAAAATCAAGGATGCCGGGTTCTCCTCTGGTATGAACTGGTTACATCAGTTAAATTTAAAACTAAATACATACATTTTAGAGAGACAGCTCAGGTTTCTAAGCTGGTAGAAGCCAGCAGTGTCTGATGATGCCCAGAACAAGTCTAAGGTTTTCAGGAAATAAAAATAATCCCTTTACAATAAAAAAAAAAAGGTGCAGGTTAGAGCATAAAGAACCTTTTCCATATTGGATAGCCAGTTGTTTTCTCCCAGGAAAAGGAGCTCTGAGCCAGTATCGAAGGTGCTACAAGTGCAGTGTACTGACTAGTGTAAAATGTGTAATGGAGCCATTCAGTTCAAAAAAAGCCAAAACTGAAGAACCCAGTGTTCATACTCTTTCTATGAGGATCATTAACCCTTTTGAAGAGTGCTTTTTATATTCCCCCCTCCCCCCTTTTTTACTTAAAGCCACAAACCAAAGTGTTTAGGATTAATCAAGTAATGCTTGCTGGGACTCTCAGGATTTTGAGAAACTATGAACACAATTTGCAATCGAGAGCATGTGCATGTGAAGGAAAAGATGTCCTTAGTTCATTTTACAGTGTACGTACATCTGCATTATTTTCAATGCTGCAGTGAGAAAGGCTTTGTCGTGGAAGTTAGTGTTTGTGTATGAAGTGCTTACATACACAGTGAAGACAAAAGAACCACTGCTACGTTAACAGCCAATACATATTGCTGCAGGTTTATAGTTAAGTGTGTTTTCACTAATATTAATTAATAACGCAGCCTGCAGCCTGTGCCTTTGTCCACACGTGTAGTTACAATAAATGGAGCAGTGCTCAGAAGCAAGCAGTCAGGTACCCCTGATTTGGCCACAGCATTTAGTAGTTATATACCTTGCCATATGAACACAGTCATATTAGGTTTCATTAGAGGAGCATAATCTATTAATGATGTATCTGGAAGAAGTTTGGCATGCATGGGGCATCAAAAGAAACTTTACTGCAGGTGCTATTTATCCTACAGCATCACAGTGCATAAACAGCAACAGAGTAGAGCATTTCAGTGATTTTACTCAAACAGTTCTGTCTGTCCCTGAGTGCTTTCTGACCACTTTGCTTCCATGGACCTGATCCACTGCCAGTGTTTCAACCTCCGGCTGAGGCTGGGATGGTGCGACGTGGTGGATGCGATGCGCCACCCCAATGTGTGCCTTGTGCGGCTTCTCTCGGGCCGGGCTGTGCGATTCACCAGATGCACGATCTGAAGCAATAGGTGGAATAACTAACGGCCTCTCCTTAATAAGATGTACCTCTGCCGTTTCCCGGGCCAACAGAAATGGAGTGGGATCAGGCATGGCATCCACAGGCTCTCGTAACAGCAGCTTCCGGCTATCCGATCCTATTCTGTAGGCCTCTTCAAACTCGGGGTTGAGTGGTGTTGACAGACTCTTCTTCATTCTGCGCCGCGGAGTCTCCGGCAGTTTATCTTTGGGAGGGGACGGCTTATAGTTGGACAACACGGGACTGCCAGAAGGGGTCCCCTCCGAAGTCCCACTTGAACTCATCAGCTTCTTCTTAGTAGCGTGCAGTTGAGAAGTTAAATAAGCAATAGTGCTCGCTCTCTGCTCTAGTTCACTTGACAACATATTGAGCTTATGGCTTTTCATTTTTAACTCTTCCAAATACTTCTTTTCTCTTTCTTTAATAGTATTTTCCAGCACCATTATCATTGCATTCTTTTGTTCAAGTTCTTTCAATAATTCATTATTTTCAGCCTCTTTGGCTTTCAGCTGAGCTTCAAGATCTTCACACTTTCTTTTGAGTTCATCACTTCTTGAACTACCATTTCCTAGAAGAACAGGAAAAGCAGAAGTGTTCCAAGTTAACAATAGCCACTAAGGAAAAAAGTGCTATAGGGTTCCTTTTGCCATCCCAAAGCCATAAGAGAAATCCCAAAGACTAACTTCAGCTAATACTCTTAAAAACTACTTCATCTTCAGAAGCACCACGACAGCTTTTAAGGAAATGAAGACAAGCTAGTGCCAGTCACCATGGGTTAGTAGTGATGATGCTAAGTAGAGATGCTTCGCGTGTTCTGGGGAACAGGGATTACAGAAACCATGCTTCCTGAACTTGCTCAAAATTGGAGCCATTTTGCAACTCCTCTGGTTACTGAGAGGAAATTCTCCCACTGCAAATGCCAGACTGGCTGGGAAGAGTGATGGAGCAGCTGTCAGAGCTCCCCAGGAAGATATGCCAGGCTTCTGCTTCACCCCCTCTGTGGGCAGCTGAAGCCTGTGACTCAAAGGCAGAGGTGTGCCTCTTCACCAAGGCTTTGCTGCTGCAGAGGTCTCTGTGGGGATTAGGTGTCCCAGCCTGGCTGCCTTCTCTTCACAAGTGTGACACATCACCCTGTATCACTAGGAGCTTTTGCACTGGTGAGGGCACACAGTTGGGAACAGACAGGCTGACGCGTCTCAGCACCGCTGCCCACATGCTGTAAGACCAATGGGGCAATTTCGTCCCTCTTCCCCTGATTGCTGCAGCTGGACGGCTTCCCAGCTGCTCAGTAGAGACCAGCAGCCTGAAGTTCTCCAATAACAACCACCCTATGTCACAGGGCCATCGACTAGAAAGTGTTTGGTATTGTCCCCTCCACACCAGCACCACAGCGTCACCACAGTGGCATCACTGGTCGATCACCTACTCTGAAAACCCTGTGATGAGAAGCATCTGAGCAACATTGCAGTATCAAGAAACAATGTTGAGCACATGCAGAGCTGCTCGGTTGCTTTGCTAAATTTGCCCGTGTTCTCTTATCCGCACTCCACATCCTGTCCCACACTATCCCTAATTCGGGAGGTTACTCCCAGGAAATATTTTATTCCTGTGCTTCACTTCTTGATAACATAATACAGCTAAAATAACTGGAATCTAGCATATACATAAAAATAAGTAAAAGCTTTGTGGTGCAGTTACAGTAGCAGCTAAGTTTTAGTAATAGTCTCAGTCTTCTGCCCCTAAAATTCATGTTCCCTGTTCCTGTACAGCATGCAGGGAACTGATTGTCTAGTGAGAGAGAGGAGTCAGCAGTTCTATGCTCTATTCCTGGCTCCTTCAAATATTTCCTATATGACCTTGTTAAGAACTTGTGACATTTACTTCATAAATAACAGTAAGTCTGGAAAGGAGAAAACTACTCTTATACCTTTAGAATTTATAAAGCCAACATCAAGTGCAAAGTATTCTCACCTACTTGTAATGGAGAAAATACAAACATTGAAAAAGGAATGAGGAAGCTTAATGTGAACATTGGAAGACAAATGCGATGTATTCCTTACCTGACAAGTCTGAACTCTTTACAGTCAGCTCATAGGTTAAATCTGAGGAAAAAAGTTGTTTATTTTTGTTAGAACAACATCATCTACCCAGTACCCCTCCTGGTGAGTGTGTTTACAATGGCATACTTCAATAAAAATATAACTAACTCTTCCCCCCACCCAAAGCAACAATAGGAGATCCGCTGCAAGTTGTAAAACAACTGGAACTATCAGGTGACACATTGCTCGTCTTTTTTTTTTTTTTTAAGAAAGGAAAATCTTTGCTTAATGATCACACAGTTGCACCCCGAGATACGTGCTGATCACCCTAAATATACCCTGGTGGTGGGCCTTTGTTTCCAAGGTTTCACTGCTGAAGTAGGAAGCAGTTACTCCATTCCTGTGAAAGCATTGAGCACCGAATCGGCATCCTCTCCCAGCTACCTGTGCAGTGCTGCTGCAGGCGTCGGATCTCAGCGTGCAGCCCCTTCAGCGTGTTGGCATGTTCTCGCTGGAGAAACAACAGATTCTTCTGGGCACTCTGTAGCTGGTTCTCTAGGTTTGAAGTTGCCATCCTGAGGCACAGTCACCCTGTCAGCAAACAGATGTAGAACGGTAAGTCACTTATCTTGCACACACAACGATCCTCACTCGACAGCCAGGGTCAGCGGGAATAGCTGAATTCTACTACTAATGAACTGATACGCAATCAAGCAAATGCCACAAAAGGTTTTTCTGTTTCATGACTATTTCAATTAGAAGTGTTCTAGGCCAGAGCAGCGTAGGGAACTCATTTGTTTGGAGTTAACACATTTAAAGGATTAATTTCAGACAGACTAAGTCACTAATCCTGTTACAAGATAAAAGTGGAGTTCTGAGAAATGGGCTAGTGTGTCCCTCAGTCTTTTGGGGGACTTTCCACGTACCTCCAGGGACACAGGAATTACTAACATCCCTGGACAAGAACAAGGAATAAAGCATTAAAACGCGCCATCGCCAAGAGAAATGCAAAGCAGGGCATCTAACACACAGCTGGGCCCAGCAGCACCAGCATGCACGTGGTTGCTACAGGGCGCCTTAGCGGAGGTGTGCGCACTGGGACCCGCACGAGAGAAGGCTCTGCCTGCTCTTTCCTTTCCTCAGCCGTGCTAGAGCAGGATCCCCTACCCGCTGCACGGGAGAGTGGCATCCCGCACAGGCCCCGAGGACATGGAACAGACAATTGACAAGGACAATGTTTCATTTAAAGAGAAAACAAACAGATTTTTCTTGCTCAGGTTATGAGTACATGGAAAGTAATTACACTGCTGGATTTTCCTTGCGGAACAGCCTTATAAACAAGGCCTTGACTCCAGCAGTGCTCAGGCTCAAATAAAGCTAGAACTGGTTAACTGTGTGATGCTGAGAGGCATGCCTGAAGACCCCTGCACTGCCAGTGTTACAGCTGCTCCCCATAAGGCAACAATGGTTTTACGTACACCCGCAGGCCGAACTGCCGAGACGCAGCTGTCTGGTGGAGCTGGAGATACAGACTCCCAAATGAATTCCCTGCTACAGAGGTAAAAATAGCTCCTCGCACCAGGCGCAGCCAATGCTTCCTGTGGAGAGGCACACGCTGTGCCCTGGGGCTCTTCTGCGACATTTAAAGGAGCACCTGGAGAAGCATCCAGAGAAGCACAAACAGGACTTACCAGGTCCCCATGGATATCTAGTCACCAAGTCTGTCATGACAATTTGTAGTTTATTGTCCTGTTTCCTATTGAAATTCCAACTACTAAAATAAACTAATGAGAAAAAGCAACGATGACAGCATGCAATCCTCCTGCAGCCTCAAAGCACAAAATCCCTCAGGTATACTTTTAGATGTTCTTGAATTTCACTGTGTGATCGTTACCCCTCTCTGCATACGCAGACAGCGCCATGCTGCTACAGCCAGGGTGCACTGTGCTGCTCCACCTACAGCAGGTTTAGAGAGGCTGCTGGCTCTACATGAGAAGAACTTTCCAGAAACATATATCCTTAATAACTCCACATTACTACACTTCAATTCTCTTTAGCAAAAAGCTGTCGTGCTGGGAAGCTTTCTGAAAGCTCTGGGATGCCAGCTGCAGCTCAGGATTCTAGAGAGCCAGGCTCGCGGGGACACCAGAGTGACAGGCAGCAGCACACACTGGATGGGAATTACACAAGCCCTGGTGGGCGAAATGGTTTCTGTGGGACAGAGCAGCAGAGGGAACTCTGTCACAGCCCCTGGGATACCACCAGGAGTGATGAGAAAGGTTTGTCGAGTGCCTCTGCATGCTCGCGGTGCACAGCTGACGATGTGGCCTGTTGGGGCCGGCGGCCACAGCAGCCCTCTCCTGCCACCATGGAGGCATGAGACTGATAAAGCAGTTACGACACTGGGTTAAACACGGCTGATGCAGGAGGAGCATTAGCTTTGTCATTACAGTAGTAAAGGCTAAATTCAGTTATCTGTGTAGTTTTGTAAAAACAATTACAGTATTTAGGTTACAAAGATAAGTAGAGAATCAGGACTCCTGTTGCCTGGACAACCATCTGCGATGGCATTACAACCGCAGTCTGTAATTACGGGACCACATGCTGTGCATAGGACAGACCTTAATTCTGTCCTGTGGCTGTCTCACAGGCACCTTAAAGCACAGGTTCGTGTTTTCCACTGAGCTGGTTTTGGTATGTAGTTTTATGACAAAAATTTGATTCTATAAGTTTAAGATTGGTAGAACATGCACTCAGAGAAAGTAACACACTTTTGTCATTCCTAAACATAACACAGCCCTGTGTTTAATTTTACACTTTTTACTCCCACAAAACCCACCAGACTGGGTGCTCCTGCGCCTTGGGAAAACACTGGGGGGCTGAGGGGGGTGGGCAGAGGAGGGGGACAAATAAATACACACACACAGAGTCTTCTGATTTCACGTGGGATCTTAACTGACATAATCATCAACTGACTTATCCCTGCAGAAGCACGTATTTGATTGTAAAAAGAAGTAAAGTGAGGGCATAAAAGACTTTCAAGGAATCCCCTTCTGTGCAAGGGGCAAAACAGCTTTTGGTTACTTTATAACAGAGATCAAAGATTAAATTCAGTGCTCAAGAAGAATGAGGGTAACGGTGCCAACTTGTGCTTTGTTGAGCAGAACAGATCATTTCGCAATCACCATCAACAGCAAACAAGCAAAAATTACAGACCAAAAATATTTTGAAGAGAGGTTTCTGTGTTGGCTAAATAAGAAATAGACTGAGTTGTGCACACAGGCTCTTGCTCTATGACTTCTGAAGAGCGGCTCATCCGAGCCGGGAGTGCTCTCCACAGCCGCGCAGCAGAGGCACCGGGACGCTCATACCTCCCGCAGTGGTACCCCCTCACTGCCCACACCGCAAGAGGACTATTTCAACACGGACTACGCAGTCCACAGCAATTACTGTGGGGCACCATCGCTTCTAAGGATTGATGATACTTTAGCTGTGTTACATTTTCCAAGTGACATCATCTTGTTTCCAAAGCTGACTTCAGACAGAAGCTTTAGTGAATCATCCAGTTTCTTAAGTGATGATCATACACTTACCGGCTGAATATGACAGAATAAAGGCTGCTGAGTCCATGCCCTCACCACAGCTGGAGCTCAGACTACATGGTACACCAAGGCTCAGAAGGGATTTTTAATCGAGAAATGTATTTTCCAGAAGAAACTCTAAGCACTGACAGTGCTAGGGGAAAGAATAGCCTATGCATAATATCCAAATCCTGAACTACCACTGGTTACTAACGATGGCTTTACGCCTGTAACTATGATCTGAACAGAAAAAGACTTCAGAAACAAACAGTGTTCATAACTCAGTCCTTGCAAATAAATGTGGTTTTTAAGAACTAGTTTCTAGATGTTAGAAAAAGCAAAACAAGGCTGTCACTATTAATCCCCTCAATTGTTTTTTTCACCTTGATCTCTTGCATCTTAAAGATCGCACTAGGATTACCTACTTGGAGGAAAAAACCAACTATCAGAGGCAGGCTAGTTTTATAAGTGTAGGAAGAAAATAAAAATTACCAGCACCAGAGCATCATCTCCCCTGCAGCACCTGTAAATTCATCAGTGACAACAATTAAATCAATCCACTATGAATCTTAGCCCTGGCCCCTCTCCTCTGAGGATGAAGGATCGGGGGCTGACTTTCCCACAAGCCTTCTGCAACCTTCCTGTGCTTTTCTCCCTCCCTGCAGCCTGCGTGCTGCCCGTCCTCTCTCCTTGCCTGCAGGGAAAGGGAAGGCCACCGCGGTAAAGTCAGAGCTTCCACAGAATTCCTGGGCAGCAGCTTCAGTTCAAGCCCCGCTCTACCCTGCCCAGTCACGTCCTTTCAGACAGCACACACCAACACTGTGCAATCCGTGCACGCGTGTTCTGGGAAACTGCCAAAACCATCTACCATACAAACAAGGAAAGGGGAAGGTGTCTCACATAGACAGTGACTAGACAAAGATGTTTTTGCTATGAAACCTGCTTAGAATTGCACAAATTAGTATCAACAACAAAATATTCTCCAAGCCATTATTCACTTTGTACCTATTTTATACCACATCTTAAACCACAAAATTAGACCTAGTATTATTCAAGTCTGAGATCTGGATGAAATGGATTTCAACTGAACATGCATTATCTGTCAAGCAAGCTCATTAGCACAATATTAAAAATATTTTTGATTGCTTTTGCAGCCAAACTGATAAGGAAGTTTCTATCACACAAATGAGGAAAGAAAAAAAAATAAATCACATCTACAGTCTGAATACTCTCAGATACCCACTGATCACCTGCATTTCACCCAGTTCTACGTTCAGCAATATTTTTCCCTGTAGGAACTTTTTTAGCCAGTGCCTAACTAAAAAGTTGGCCAAACTGCCAAAGCAGAAGCCAACTAAAGAGAAAATATTTATATTTCTAGAATAATATCGAATTGTTTTATGCCCCTAGAGCTAATAAAACTGAATTTGACACAAAAAGACTGGAAGTATAGAAAGGATATATAGTAAGTCAGGCCAACAACATAGCCAATTAATTTGTTGTTGGGCAAGTTTATCAAACAGACCATTTCTGAAGATCAGAAACATGGGGTTAAAAGGAGGGGAAACCCTCTCAGCATGACATTGTAGAATTGCTCTGGCAATTGTTCTGCTTTTGGGTAAGGCACAAGAAGTATCTTCAGACACCTAAACAAAGATTACCTTAAAGAGCCTGGAGACACCACCCGTATTTTGTGAAGGGAGAGGACCTGGGAGAGAAGCAGATGTCCTGGCTGTGACCCTCCTGGATGCTCACACCCACGATGATTCTGCAGGACAGGGCAAGAGGGGACATTACTTGCTTCAACAGAGACTCAGTGCTGTATGTTGTCCAAATTGTTATGATTTGGGGCGATTATGCCCTTAAAAAGTCCACCCAAATCATGTATTTCAATTTAAAGCATACTGGCTGAGCACAGTGTTTTCTGGTTTTTTTTTTTTTTTTTTTTTAACGTGGCAGCAGGAAAATACGCTCATTTATGACTGGGAAGTCATTTGCATACAACTAGTT